TTGACATGACATGTTTGTATTAGCGTGCTGACACAGTGACGAATTTCGAGTGCTTATGCATTGGCAATAGATCACATTAGCGACATGTGAAAGTGGACTAACAATGAAAAGAACATTCGCTACATGAAATTTTCAGATTACGTAATCCTCGCAAAACACTGAGTTGGCAAAGACATACATCGCCCTCATAGAAGAGGAGAATAAACACCTTCTGGTATAGCTTGTTTATGCCAAGGCTACAATAGGCATGCGCTTCAATACTGAATATGTGCTATGACAGCAGGACATGGCAGTTCCACTCAGGCAAAAGAAGCTTAACAGTTTTACATCGGCAGATTGTGCTGTTAAATTGAAGTCAGTGTGTGACGCATAAGTAGGAAGTACCTGGTATGATTCCCGTAGGTGACGATCTTACTCCTGCGCCTCCATCTGAATTAAGCTACCTCTTCAGAATGTGACCTTTAGGTGACAAATTACCAGGTGTTTTTTTTGTTAGTGTTATTGCCTTGACCAACTAATCAATAATCTGCAGGTTTATTAGGTCCTGGTCAACAATAGCAAGAATCGTGAGCAATTTGTGTGAATTGCTAAATGCAGCCTTTGTGCGGCCTTCTGTGAGAGTGAACGGGCCTAATCACCGCTGTTTTATATCTACAATTCCCGTGGTCTAAATAAAATTATTTCGCTCAACAGTAGCGGTACTTACTGATTCCCTTTGAGTGTTTCTTGAGCGGTCAACATCTGTGCTGCCATGGTCACAGACGTGGTCTACACACACAAGAAACGCAATGCAATGAAGTTCCTCGCTGGAACTGCACCACAAGGCGTGATCACCTTTATTTCACAAAGATGGCGGAGACGCACGAGCGATTACGTAATTGCTCCGGTGTGTAGTGTTCCCACCGTCCTGTTTTCTGGTGAAAAGTGCCAAATCTGACTAGGACAAGCTGATGAATCTGCTTCTTGTGTACCTTTTTCAGCATGACATTGTACCGAAACGCGCTTTTAAAAAGCCGCCTTGTTCCTCACGTATTTACCGGAGACGAACGAAAAACAGAACACATCTTTTCCTTCTCGCTCGATCATATTGATCCCGCCCGAAAGCTTTCCACACCCTACCTTGTTTAGCACTGCCTCCGAGATCAGGGGAACTGGAAGCTTTGTGCTCCTCAGTATGGTCTTTATAGCCTCCGTGATCAGCCATATTTTAAAGAAACGACAATTCTAATGCTTTCCGTCCAGTGCACCCGCTACAGGTCTGTTAGGTTAGAGGGGGTGGTCCCCACGAGGTAGTAGCCGAATGATGCTAGGCAACATCAGCGTATGCACTGGATGGTGTTGTGCACGCTCCTCTAGTGCTGTAACAAAAGCTCCTTCCTTGTTCTTTCCAAATGTTGGAACGAGTTCCCATTACAAGTTTCATAAATGCAAAAGGAACTTGTTACAGTTAAATTTAGAAAATCAGACCGTGTCGCTATATTACCATCCCATTTGACTTGTCAAGAAATACATACGGCAGGTAATTCTGAGGCGAAAGAAAGTGATCAATTTGAAGCGCACATCAAGCTACATATATTTATACGAACTGAATACCGCCACCATCAGACTATACCTCGGTGAAAGGAATTTAAATAAACGCACTTAGACGATTAAAGAAAAAACACCAACTATACTGAAACTTTTGAGCTCGTCTATTTCTAGTATATCACATGTCGCACATTATACTTCAGTCCTCAAAATCGCACTCAGGATACCGTGCTTCAAATACTCAAATGTAAATATCCACCGATCTACCAACATCATTAAACGTCTTGCACAGGAAACTCCACATAAAGACACAATACTGAGACCTTTATTCAGTGCTGAATGAATATATCACTATGAGTAGAAAATCATGTGCAGGATATCCATTTTCATCTCAGTAAAGTGCTCTGTCAGCAATCGTCGGTCCAGGTGGGCCTTGGAAAGAATGGAGGATTCACAAAGGCTATACCCCCACTTCGATGATTCAGGCTCTGGGGCTCTTGGATGCACCAGGATTACGTCGCCCGCGATTAAGATTTTTGACGATGCCATGATGCATGCGTCCTTCCCATAGCGGGAACGCTGCGAACATCACTCTTTCACGAAGGTTTACGTTCTTGCGATAACGCATGTCCTACGGGCCTGCACACTGATGGAGGTCACTAGTTTGTCCCTTATAGAGCCCCTACCAAAACGGTAAAGCGCAGCACAGGAAAGCGGGAAAGGCGGATTGTGAAGAATAGATTTGTTTCTCAGGTACACCCGTATAGAGTGCGCTCTTCATACGCACTTTCATGTGTATTAAAGACGTACTTGACATCTGCGACGTGCTGTTTGAACACGAAAAAAACACAAATCGCGAAAGGACCACAATTCTATTCATGAGCATCGGCAGGATTTTGTCTTTGGGGGGGAGGGGGGGTGCAAACCGCGTGTAGCGTCACGGCTGGTGGAGATCGCAAAATGCTTGGTACAACTTCAGTGTTGCCAGGTTCTGGTGTAGTTTGAAGAGGGAAAGTGCCCCTTTTGTGCCCACCTGCTGACGCCCATGGTTCTATCGCGACCTAAAGACACGAGCAAAAGATTAGTAAAGCCTTCACGACGGGCACCCTGCGAGAAGATATATCTACCCTGCGGAAAGATATATAATTTCCCGCAGGGAATATATATATATGCATTCGACGTACGATGAGGTTTGATTGTTACATGAAAATTTAAAAAAAATGGCAGATCTCACGTGCAGTGGGACTCGATGATATGCAAAGTACGATTGAGAAATGTTGATATGCCACTTTAAAATCGGCACAACGTTACGAGGTGGAGGTGAACGATTCCGTACATTACTTCGGTGTCATGATTATCATGTTTGGATGTGTCGTTTACCTTCGTCATCTACTCACGTCACGCGACACCAAATTTGGTATATGTGGAGCTAGTGAAACGGCCACGAGAACGCTTCGAGCGTGGTATGTTCTCATGTTCTTACATGACGAGCGTGTCAAGATTTTCATGTTTGCACCAGTCATGTATTTCGTCATCCATTGACGTCACGTAACACCAAATTTGGTATATGTGGAGCTAGCGAAACTGCTGCTAGCGCACCATGAAAGGCCAAATATACTCCAATGCAGTGTTGACGCGCGTGCACGTTGGGCACGCCGAGCAATGTTAGCAAAATGGGAGCACGTTATAGTCTGATACCAGGCGTGACCAGCGTCTGTCGGCGTGGCCCGACGGCAACCGGCGAGAAATGCGACATGTTGCATTTCGCGCCGATGCGTTACCTAGAAAACAATGCGTCTCCCTCTTGTCGTGACGGAGGGACGCCGGACGCGCTGAAGCGCGCATGCGACAAAGAAACCCAGCGCGGCGCGCGCCTGCGAGTATATGGCAGGACCGGCGCCTGGGGTATACCAACGCCGGCGTGACGCGACGAAATGAACGCCGGTGAGCACGCGCACCGCGTCACATAGGAATGTATTAGCGCCTTGACTGTGGAATGTAGTCATGTTCTCACAAGATACTTATCTCACGATTATCATGTTTGCACCAGTCACATACCTTCGTCATTCATTGGCATCACGTAATACCAAAGTTGGTATATGTGAAGCTAGCGAAACTAATGCGAGTGCATAATTAGTGTGGCATGTAGTCATGTTGTTACACGACACGCATGTCGTGGTTATGATGTTTAGATGAGTCGTTTACCTATGTCGTGCGTTCGCGTCGCGTAATACTGAGTTTGGTACATGTGAAGCTAGCGAAACGGCCGCGAGCGCATCATGAGCGTGGAATGTAGCCATGTTCTGACGTGACACGCATCTCATGAATATCGTGTTTGCACCAGACACATACCTTCGTCGTCCATTCACGTACTGTAATACCGAATTCGGTATATGTGACGCTAGCCGAACGGAACGGCTGCAAGCGCATCATAAGCGTGGCATGTAGTCATGTTGTTACATGGCACGCATGCCATGATTTTCATGTTGGGGTCTGTCGCTTGTGTTCGCCTTGCAATCATGCCATAACATACCAGTTTTGCAACATGCCATGTGAACAAAACCAGCGCAAGAGCTGCAAAACCATGAGATGCAAATCATAACATTCTTGACATATATGTCATGATTTTCGTGTTATCACTAGTCAAATATGTTCTTAATACAGTCATGCTATGCCATACCAACTTTGATATTGATACCACTATCGAAACGCCCAGGAACGCTAAATGTGGTAGGCGGCTAGATAGATAGATAGATAGATAGATAGATAGATAGATAGATAGATAGATAGATAGATAGATAGATAGATAGATAGATAGATAGATAGATAGATAGATAGATAGATAGATAGATAGATAGATAGATAGATAGATAGACAGACAGACAGACAGATAGACAGACAGACAGACAGACAGACAGACAGACAGACAGACAGACAGACAGACAGATAGATAGATAGATAGATAGATAGATAGATAGATAGATAGATAGATAGATAGATAGATAGATAGATAGATAGATAGATAGATAGATAGATAGATAGATAGATAGATAGATAGATAGATAGATAGATAGATAGATAGATAGATAGATAGATAGATAGATAGATAGATAGATAGATAGATAGATAGATAGATAGATAGATAGATAGATAGATAGATAGATAGATAGATAGATGCAAAGTCGCCGAAGTTCGCTAAGAAATGCTTTGCATTTGATGTTAGACATGAACGGCATCGATGAAGTGAAGCAGATGGTTGTTATTCTTTATTGTGTTTTGTGCAAACTACCGCTTTCGTTCTTTCTTTCATTCTGTGCATATATGCGATCTTCCCCCCAAATAAACAACGGTTATTTCGCGCTCGTGTTGTCTCCTACCTGTGGTTTTTAGTATTTTTTTCGTGTTCAAACAGCGCATCGCAAGTATCAAAAATGTACAAACTAGCCCCTACTATGACCCTTCTAATAAGAGCAGTTAGGGGCAGCTCTTCGCATGCATAGATCGACTATGCGCCTCGCAATCGAACAGCAGCAAATTACAGCCTTTCATGATTCCAGGATGAGTTGATAGTCAGGGACGCCACGTCCTAGCATCCATCTCTAAGCACCGAGCCGGTCGCGGCTAACCAGCAAACTCGTAGGCTGCCCTGCCCTTCGCTCCCAGCTCCGTTACCCTGTAGAGTCGTCCATCCTCAGGGCTCTTGGCGTCTGGGCGAAAGCAGCCTGTTGTGACGTACAGGACGTCGTAGTTCTCCCCTCCGAAGCAACACGAAGTGGTGTACTTGGCAGGAAAGTCTATCTTGGTTAGGATCTTGGCTGTGGAAATAAAAAAGAAGATTTTGATTGTTGACATTTAGGTACCAGTAACCCAACAATCTTATTGCAGACGCCGAAGTACAAGGCTACAGAAATATTTCTGCCACCTCTAATATGCGATAAATCTAAGCACACGGGCCTTTAGCCTTTCACCTTCACCGACATGTACCCGACGCCCCGCCGCGGTGGTCTAGTGGCTAAGGTACTCGGCTGCTGACCCGCAAGGCACGGATTCGAATCCCGGCTGCGGCGGCTGCATTTCCGGTGGAGGCGGAAATGTTGTAGGCCCATGTGCTCAGATTTGGGTGCACGTTAAAGAACCCCAGGTGGTCTAAATTTCCGGAGCCCTCCACTACGGCGTCTTTCATAATCATATAGTGGTTTTAGGAGGTTAAACCCCACATATCAATCAATCGACATGTACCCGTGGGGGCTGTGATGTGATCGCGCGACATTCGAGCCATGCAGATATATAAAAAACATGGTTGATCCCTTCTTCAAAGCAATAGGTAAAACACGAAAGTATTAGGAGGCCTTACAAAAGTAGCTTATTATTTACATACCACACTGATTCATGTTAAGAAAAAGGAACAAAGAAAGAAGCAGACTGGCTACCCTGCGCTCGGAAAGGGAGTAAGGGGTATACAATATGATAGAAAGGAGATGTTGCAAAGAGAGAGGGAGAGAAGAGAAAAATAACGTAGGAGGAAAAACAAAATAAAAAAGAACACGACACTAAAGGCTGTTTATAAGACCAGTTGCCCGAAAAATTTGTAATAAAGCTTGGAAGCCTTCTGAGCTGAGGATGGACTCGGCCAGTGACCCAGAATTATTTGTTCCGACAAAGGACGATCATCTAGTCTATCTAGAGTTTCGGTAAGTTCTTGTATTGGCACTTTGAAATGGGTACACTCGCAAAGATTAGTGATTGTTTCTTCGCAGCTGCAGTTATTGCACGTAGAGGTGCTGGTCATTCCAATAAGAAAGCAGCATGCATTTGTGCATGCCACGCCAAGCCATTGGTGGCACAGAAGTGTCTCCTCAGCTCGAGATATTCCTAAGGGATGGCGAAGCATGAGATTGGTATCCAGGTAATATAGGCGAGTCTTTGTGAATGCCATCGAATTCCACTATGGTAGTGTCAGGTCAAGTGCCAGCAAACGAAGCCTTGTAGCTGCTTCGGTTTTTGAGAATGGCATGACTGGGTATTCGGTACCGTCATGAGCAGCCTCATCTGCGCCGTCCTTTCCATGTATATAATGACCTGGTATCCTCTGATACGTTATGCTGTGTTCTTTCTCGATTGCTTGGTGATGAAAATGCCTTATATAGCCTACTAAAGACTTGTTAGGTCCATGACAAAAAGGTGACATGAGTCTACCAAAAGCTGCCTTCGAGCCCGAGGAGATGAATCAAGCTTGCGAAGGTTCTTCAACAATAAACTCCAGTGCAGCAGATATGGTGGCGAGTTCTTCAGACGTCGATAACGTGAAATGCGATGTCTTGAATTAATTATGACAGACTTCGCGAGAACAACCATCACCGTTGCTGAGCTTATTGAAGTGACAGAACCATTCGTGTAAATGTGAATGCGTCCATTGTGCTTCTCGTTCAGGGACAGTAGTGTGGGATTCTTCAGGGCCCGATGTGACAAGTGTTTCTTCTTTTTGATTTTAAGAGAGGTAAGAAGAGCTTTAAATGGGTGTATGCACCATGGTAACGGTGGTCGTGCTGCACGCGTGACGTGTAATGGAATCACTGCACAATGCTGAGCTACAGTTGCGCTGAACGCTGAGTGGGGTCTCGAAGCTAGAAGTGAGGCGAGGTGATGTGGTGGAATCAAAGCGAAAGGCCTTAAGTGCTTTCTGAAAGCGTCCGCACGGATACATGTGTTGATTGGATAATTATGCGCAATGACGACTGTCGCTTCTGTAGATGTGCATCTCGGAAAACCAAGGCATATTTGAAGTGCTTGGGCTTGAAGCCATTGGAAGACCTGCATTTTGTTCTTCTGGTTCTGCAAAGCACAAGTAAGCTGTAGCGCATAATACCGAGAAACAGAACAGTGTAAAGTGGAAACATCGCTCCTACAGATGCAGCCCACGTTTTTCCAGCAAGAAACCTTAGTACGTGTGTGATCACGGCGAGCTTCGTAGGCGATGTGAGGGCTCCAGGAGAGGTCGCGAGCAATTATGACAGCGAGAAATTATTGGGACTTCACGTTGTTAATCGTGTTCCTGTCTAATTTAATGTCCAACGGGTCTATCGCCTTATGCATGGACGCAATCGAGCACTCCTCTGATGACAGTTCTTGTCCCCGTCCTTGAAGTACTTTGTCGCCAGTGTAGTCACTCTCAGGTGTCTGGCACGCACAAGGAGGCGTATCACGCCTGATGCCCTGATGCAGATTTGAATATTTGATAGATGGACTGATCGTGTAAGTGCGTCAACCAGGCAATGGAGTGCTACGTGAAAAAGGGTGGAGCTAAGAACTCAACCTTGAGGCACACCGCGACAGATAGAAGGATGCGTTTTTGCGCCACACTCTGTACAAAGAAGCTTCTGCCCTTTAAATTGCTGTCAATTCGTTGGTAAACAAGACCCCCCCCCCCCCAATCCAACAATTTCCAAGACATCCAAAATGGCTTCATGCGATATATTATCGCATGTGCCTTCCACGTCCACCCGGAACAACGCCACAGATAATCGTTTCGGGCTTCTTTTTTTACGCTGCACATGTCATAAGTTTACTGTTGCACAGAACGATGCCTACAGCAACATGGGTATTAGCAACACCAGAAGCGGTAAGCTGTTATATACCGCTTGGGCCAGTGAGTATGGCAGCCCTAGACAGTGCTAGGTGAATGAGCTCCGGTAGATGTCGCTTCACTGCAATTGACGTTAACCCGACATGACAGTGGTATGATAGGAGCGCGCATGTACAGTTTATCAGGTTGGACTGCCCGAGTTGAAACCAGTATTCACGTTTCACGAGCTATATTGAAAAGCAGCTGTGAGACCTGGCGTGGCTCTATGGCAGAATACTTGGTTCACCCGCAGAATGCTGGGGTTCAACTTCTGTTGGAACCCTGACATTTTTTGTTCTTTACGTTCGTCGGGTTCTGGGCTTTAAAGTTGTTGGTAATGTTCATAAAGTTGTTGTACTCACTCGCTCACATTCGTCGAGCCAACGTAGCCGATGCCAGCTTTTCTTTAACGCTGACGTGTTAAAGTCACCCTTGTGTGTTCTTTCCGTTCCTGGTTAGATATGAAGGTCAATCACCCGTGGCACATATTCGTGGCACATACCCACCCGTGTGTATGTGCCACCGTCTGGCAGAAATAGTTTGACGACGTACGCGAGGGTACTGTCACATTATTCATGTCATGACCAGCGAGTCATATGCGCCAAACGATCTTACCCTTCCATTCCAATTTTGGTTTGCCCCAAGTTAAGGACGTAATCACGGGAGCAACTCTAGACAGGCGGCTAGATAGATAGATGCGTAGATGGACGCCAAAAGTGATTGCACAACGCAAAGAAATGCTTTGACATTTCAAATTCAGGAAGACAACCACTGGACAAGCGGCACCAAACGCGTCGCGGAAGTGCACGTGTTTCCCCCCTTTCCGGAGCAGCAGTGTCGTCGGATGCAGCGCGAAGAGATAAGGGCTTAAACCGGAAGTACTGTCGTAGACGAGGCCCCGTTTTACTATCCACCTTCCTATGGCACGACATAGCCGATCCTGTGGCACACGGCAATAAAAACTCAGAGCGTACAGGACAGAACTACGATCGCTTAAATGGAGACAGAGAATCCCAAGAACAAGAAAGTCAGCCTCTTCGCTTCCTCTTCTTTACTCCAAACACACTTACTGTGAGGCTAAGACCTATTGGCAGTGTACAACACAAATGATCGACGGCTTCCGGTTTTGGCCACCTACAGAACATAACAGCAGTGGTTGGGAAGAAAAGCCTTGGCGGGGAACGCGCCAACTTTCAACGTTTTTTCCAGCGTGTTAAGCAAAATACGACAACTAAATGTTATTTTAAACTGTACTCAGGAGTATATTATGGACTTTATTCAAATTCGGGCACCCGTCTTTTAGTCTGGAAACGTGAAAAAGAGGTTTTTTTTAATTTGAAACAGCATCAAAATATGCATTACGCTTCGGTTTTAGGCAATGAGTAATGAAGTAACCGGAAGTATCTTGGCGTGCAGCGCTTCTTGCTTCTATCACAAACAAGGAGGTTTAAAATGATCACAACCTTGAGTTTTGAACGAATATATTGATGATTTAGAGTACGGTGTTCTCTACTATAGGGCCCTGTACGAAAACGCGTTCACGCCATCTCAGCTAGAAACTGTGTTAAAATGGTTGATGATTTAGAACACTATGTACTCTACTATGGCAAAGTGCTAAAGTGTCCCGAATGCGGCACTTATATTTGTAAGCGCGCAAAGGTATTTAGAAAAATTTGTTTTCACAGACGTCAACAACATTTCAACAGAACATTTTCTTCTTAGACATACAATAATGATGATGACAGAACAGACGTCATCTTGGAAAGAACATGTACATCCGATGGTTCACACAAACACAGCCACACAAAAGTGTGTCACAGAAGGACAGATACACCTATGAATATTGCAAGGTAAACAAGAGGCACAAATAAAACACAAATATGTACGTTTTGCATATTTACATGTTGGCATGTCTTTCTGCCGGCGCATCGACACATCAGCCTACCAATACCAGGCCGGCCAAAAGGCAAGTTTTACTCGGCCGTCACAGACCGACACAAAAGGGCAAGCCCAGTGCCTAAGGAATTCCTCTTCACCGAGGAAGAAGAGCTCATCCGATAAAACAGACAGCAGCTTCGAGTGCAATCGCTCTAGGATCAGGAAGAGCGCTGTAATGGCTCGGAAGGAGGAACGCAGGAGGATACAAAAAACAAGACAGGTTTATGTCACTATTTACACATATTTACAGAAAAG